CGGCGGCACCCTCCGGCGGTGGGGCAGCCACACAACCCAGCCAGTGGTGAGGCCGTGGCCCCCATGACCTCGCCGGCCCCTCCGAGGCGGCTCCGGCTTGGGCTGGTCGACCTTGGGGCGCCCCACTTCCACTTCTCCGGGCAACTCCCACAATCCGCCCGGTGTAGGGGGAAGCCCTCCGTCGTCGTTACGAAGATAAAACCAACTCGTGTACCACCGGCGGTTGGAGGACGCGAGTTGGGCCGGGATGTAGAGGTGCAGGCGGTCCCGACGCACTTGGAGAGTGCAGCCTCCGGCCCTCGCCGCCTTCCTCTTGCCCGACGTGCTCGACGGCTTTGTAGTATGCCCCGCCCGGAACAGATGGAGCCACAACTCCTAATGGGGCGCGATCCCTAAATACCCCTCGCAGACGGCAACAAAGATAGCCGCCTGAGCAACGGAGTTGGGATTAAAATTGTGGAGCTCCACGCCGTAGTAGTGCGTAAGCGCCCGCATGAACCGGTCCGCCGGGACGCCGAGGCCACGCTCGTGGAAGGAGACGAAGCTTACGACATAGCCGTCGCGAGGCCTCGGCTCCGGCTCGTCGTACGGAGCAATCCATTCCGGCGAGGTGGAGTCAGTCACCGGGCGGAGGAGCCCACCATCGACAAGCGACTGGAGCATCTCCTCGGTGACGTCCGACGGATCCCAGGGGTCCGCCTCGACGACAACGATATCACCGGCCATGGGCTCGCTCTTCCTCCTCTCCTTCTCGGCACTCGCTGCTCTAGCGACGGCTCGGCGGGGGCGGCGCTGATGCAGGCAAGGTAAGACGAGGAGGGGCAAAACTCCCTGGGCATTTATGCAGGGAGGAGAAGAAATGAGCCGGCGATGAAATCGGGGAGATTTCCCCCCAATCTGGCGCGGTTAACCACGAGCCGATTTCACTGGCCCACGCGCCCACGTCTCCCGCATTAAATGCGAGGACGGTTACGTCCCATCCACCACGCCACGCTCGGCCACTACGGCAGCAGGTACCGTTTCGACTCCCAATAAAACTGCCTCAAAAGGCGCGCCGCTCGTGGCCGAGCCAATAGGGAAAATATTTCCTGCGGCATGTTCCTTTCATAGGAAGGAACCGGGCTCTGAGCCTATTACGATCCGAGGGGTTCAAATTTGGACCCCAAAGGGTTTCGACAGCTGCCCGGGATAACATGAGTCAAGGTCGATCATGGTGAGCCTATTGGGGCTGAGACCCAAGCCAAAGCGAAACGCTTGGGGCGCCCAAAGTCGTGTCCGAGACCGGCAGGAAAGTATCCGAATGGGATCCCCGTAGGGAGGCACCGAGCCACCGAGGCCCAACGAGCGACCTTGGCACCCACTAGAGAAATCCTCTGGTACTCTTGGAGTGTGTCTCTCGGACCGCTAGCCGTCCCCTAACGAAGCGGGGTTCGGGCCTCCACTCGGACTACCCGATAATGAGTTCACCGGAAGTGCCACCGCTCGTGCCCATCGAGGGTAGCGAGGCACATTCCACCCCTCCCTCCTTCCGAAAGCGAAAAGGAAGCGCGAGGGTCGCATAAAAAGTCAGGGGAACCCCTGACGGCCTTCTCGCCCTATGTAGAGGCTAGGGGGCTCCTCCTACAAATATGCCGAGACCCCACGACCGGGCTCGTGCCCAAAGGGCCTCGGCAAACAAACCCTCACTGAGGGGCGGGGCGTATAAAAAGTCAGGGAACTCCGGCGGCCCTCTCGCTCTGCTGAGAGGCTAGGGGCTCTTCTGCGACCTTGCCGAGACGAGAATGGGCTCGGCAAACAAACCCTCATCGCCTTGAGGCGTATAAAAAGTCGAGGAGAACTCCCGACGGCCCTCTCGCTCTCTTGCAGAGGCTAGGGGCTCTTCTGCAACCTTGCCGAGACGAGAATGGGCTCGCAAACAAGCAAACCCTCCGTCCAAATGAAAAGGATATGTGAGGGCGAATGAAAAAGTCAGAGAGACCCCGACCGTCCTCTTGCTCCAAAGCGGAGGCTCTGGGGGCTCCTCTTGCACCCAAAAACCAAGACAAAAACACGATTAAGGGCACCGAGCCCGTTTACAGTCCGGGGTTGAAGGTTTGGGCCTCCAAGAGGTTTCGACAGCCGCCCCAGGGCAACAGAGTCAGGGACGACTCCGGGGCGAGCCTACGAATGGCCTAGGCCCGAACGTGTAGTCGCTCGGGGCGTCCTAAGTCGTGTCCGAGACCGACAGGAAAGTATCCGAATGGGATCCCACCGTAGGGAGGCACCGAGCCACCGAGGCCCAGCGAACGGCCTCGGCACCCACTAGAGAAATCCTCCGGTACTTTTCGAGTGCGTCTCTGGACCGCTAGCCGTCCCCTAGCGAACGGGGCTCGGGCCTCCACTCGGACTACCCGATAACAGCTCACCGAAAGTGTCCACGCTCGCGCCCATCGACGGTAGCATGGCACATTCCACCCCTCCTTCCGAGAGAAAGGAAGCGTGAGGGACATACCCAACGTCCGGGGGACCCCTGACGAACCTCTCGCTCCATGCGGAGCCTAGAGGGCCTCTTTTTGCAACCTCGCCGAGACCCCCGCAACCCGAACTTGCACTTATGGGCTCAGCAAATGCAATAAGAACTGATCACTCAAACGCGAAAGTGGAGAAAGCCCCTGGAGGAGTAACTTCACTCCCCCAGGAGCTCGGGGGCTACACCCGGCGGGTGCGCTCGCGCGCACCCACCGAAACCTCAGAAAACAAACCAATTCCTACGGAGCAGGCATAAACCCAGCCTCGACGAACCCTCAGGGAGAGTGCACGCACTCACCCCGAGGCTCGGGGGCTACTGTCGGGTACCTTAGAACGGGGTACCCCAAGCAAACATCAAAATAAAGCTAGAAGGTAAGCCGTGGGCCCCTCACCTGCCACGACCGAGCCCTCCTCCACCTCGCCTCGAGCCTCGAGCAGGGGGTCTCAGAATAAACTCCGCCTCGCGCGAGGCTCCCCAGGGTAGGTCTCGGCAGGGGGCGCCGAGCCTCGGCAGGGGGCGCCGTCTTCGTCTTGCCCGAGGCTATCCAGGGAAGGCCTCGGTAGGGGTACATTCTCCGTATCACGCGAGGCGTCTCGCGCAAGGCCTCGGCAAGGAACCTGATCTCCGCCTCGCGCGAGGCCTCATTCTCCGTGTCGCTCGAGGCCGGCTCGTCCGCGGTCCGTCGCCCCCCGCCTCGGCCGACCCTCCCAACAACTCGTCATGTCTCATTAATGCTTCAACCACTCCCGCAATCTCAGCCGGACGGTGGCTCAACGCCACAGGATGGCCGACGCGACCCGAGGTCGCATCAGCGCCATACCGGCCGGGACAGGGTACGACGGGGATTACCGGCCACTGTGTCCTACCACTGTGTCCACGATCAGCACCATACCGGCTAGGACAGGGTACGACGGGGATTACCGACCACTGTGTCCAAACACTGTACCCATGATCGGCCGCCCGCTCAAGGCCTCGGCACTGTACATCGGGGCCTCGGCGATCTTGGGGTTCGTGCCTGCCGAGACCCCCCCTCCGCAGTGCCAGCCTCGGCATCGACCAAGTCTCGGCCTCGCGCACAGTCCGTCCACAGTGGCTTGCACGTTCGCCGCCGCGTCCACTCCGAGACATTCCCGGGGCTCCCACGACGCATAGGTTCTGATGGGATGACCACGCCGCCCCAGTACTCCAAGGATGGACCACTCCGACGGCCACACCGCCACAGGAACAGGCTACAGGGCCCGGACACGCCGCCTCTGTTCACACGACGCCGTATAGTCAGCTCATGTACCGTCCTAGTCCTCCCTTCATGCTATAAAAGGAGAGGACCTGGGTTGTTTTAAGGGAGGGGAGACCTTGTAACACACACGCACACTCCTGCCGCCGGAGAGCAACGTCTCAAGCGGCCCGCACGGCACCCTGCCGAGACCTAAGACCAGCTCCTTCTCTCCTTTAGCTTGTAACCCCCTACTACGAGCACCTCGGTGCAAGGAATACAAGATCGATCTCTCAGACTGGAAGTAGGGCCTCGATTGCCTGAACCAGTATAAACCTTGTGTCTCTTTGCATCACCATCCGGATTGGGAACACGCAGAACAAATTCACTGGTTGGTTGAGGACCCCCCGGTCCGAAACACCGACAGTAATTTTGTAAATTAGCATGGTAATTATCGTAACTCAAAGTTGCCACAGAATAAGTTATTCTATGGCCAGCTGCAGAACAGTACGTGTGTGTATATATATATATATATATATATAACAGATTTACCTTCAATGATCAGTTTTGTTAAGTCTCTGAATGGTATTGAACAACCTTGTTCCTGATTTTCAATAGGTTCCATGTAGGAGAGTATGTATTAAAATGCACGAAGAGAGTCATTAGAATCTAGTACTCCACCACCTAAAAATATATCAGCAATAAACCCTAAACTTCCTGGTAACCTATTCCGTGTGCACGTAGGAAAATTTTTTTTTTCCACCTCACGATCCATCAGATGGGTCTGGTTATCTTTATATGCCTGCCCTTGTAGCGTGCGTTGAAGCAGATGGACTCTAATTGGGCAACACTGACAGATGACCTAATCAACAACTTTGGTCTTCTCTAGATGGGACGGATTGCAGATAAAACACTACCACGAACGCAGTGGTTTTTGTAGATCAGAACCTGTCCCCCTCCGACTCGAGCTCTGCGTAACGTGTAAACTCGCCTAGGAGTCTCGAGCATCCTTACGGGAATTGATTTTTACCTTGCTATAGGGCGAGTGTGCGTTGTCTTCCTGATTTGATCGCATGGAGTAGTTTTGGTGTCACACATGTAGATAGAATAGTTATGAATATTTTAGTTGTAGAGATTAATACTCAAAAGGAACCATACCAATTAGGTGTCTTATTTACGTCGGCAGTTGGCTCGTTGAACGTCGTTTTCCTCTACTATTTCTTTCTATAAAAGACAACTGAACTCGGTGAACAAATGCATTCGAGCTAGCTAGCAACCATGTGGAAACTCAAAGTCTCAGAGGGGGCCCCCGACGACCCATGGTTGAGTTCCGCTTACAACTTTCTCGGCAGGGCAGTTTGGGAGTTTGATCCTGATCTAGGCACAACGGAGGAACGCACCGAGGACGAGAGGGTGCGCAAGGAGTTCACTGAGCATGACCTGCGATGCACGACTTAACAAGTTCAGAGAGCTGGATTTCAATTTTGAGAGTTCGAGGACCTAAGTGGCACAGAGCTACAAGTTTACGGGCCGCCAGTGTAATTCCATGCTAACATCAAATTGATAAAAAAAAATTGTATATTGCAACAAAACCAGTTTTCACAACAGTAGTTATTATTACCTCATTGAAACAATCACTGACCTCTGTAAGCTGCAAGTCAATAATTAATCACACACAAAAAATTAAAGTAGGTACACACTAAATTACTAATGTGCAAGCTACCATGCGTACACTGTTAAAAGTCAGTACTGAAATGCAGCTATGCAAGCTCAAGCTGTACTAAGGTAGATAGATAACTAACATCTTGCCGGAATGGAAGAACTAGAACATGTTTTTTTGCTGCTATAAGAATCCTATCGGCGCTTTCTGAGTTCCAATTGTATAGCTTAAAGAAAACAAAGAGCTTAAGACCTCATATATATATTTCAGACTTGACTGTTAGGGCCTGTTCGCTTGTCTGAATTTTGGAGAAATCTGGATAGTTTGGAGGAATGCTGGAAGAATTTGTGAGAGAAAAATACTATTCCAGATGAAAAAATAAGCGGATCAAGCCAGGTTTGATTGCCGGTTGCAGAATTGGATATTTGGGGTACCTGGACAGCAGATGGGCAGGGAGAGCCTATCGCCAGCGGCCACCGGCATGTCGTCGCTGAGATTTGCGTCTTTGAGACACGAGATCGAGAATGAATACGAAGGAGCAGCCGCTGTGGCGCCGGCACAGTCAGGAGGACCTACGGTTACGGATTGCGATGTGAAAACAACGAACATCGGAAGATGAAACGGTGACTAGGGTTAGGCTTAAAACATTATCATGGTAGTGCCAATGAGGTTGTTGTGATAAACAGTGCTAGCTGTAGTAGTCTTGTTGAACACTAGTAGAGAAACTAGCTGTACTTCCGGTTGTCAACCCCTTCAGTCCCGGTTTTGGAACCGAGAGCACGAATCTGGGACTAAAGGGCCCCTCCTTTAGTCCGGTTTCGCGCCCGGGACTAAAGGTCGGTTGGTATTACCAACCGGGGGTAAAGAGGCCTCCCGGCCTGGCCACGTGGGCCGGCCCTTTACTCCCGGTTGGTATTTTTTCTTTTTTTGTTTCGATTTTCAATTGATGATTCGTTTTGGTTTTCGAATACGCATTCTACGCTGCTAATAATATACGTATTCTACACGTTTATAATATTCGAACATTTTGTACAAACTAAAGTATGAAACTAACGTATATATTACATGCATATATATATATATATTGTACGTTATTTTATGTACATATAATATATATATATATATATTACAAATAAAGCTTGCATTGTATATTCTATTATATCTTTGGGATAACAAATTCACTCCATCTGGTTTGGCTTCCATGTTTCGTTCACGTCATTGTAGAACTCGTCGGCGAGGTTTAGGACCTAGTCATTAAGAAATCCTGCTATGGTCTCTTGAATTGCTTTCAGTTGGTCACGTCGTATGACTTTTTCCTTCAACCATAGAGTCTTCAATAAAAGTTAAAGAAAAAGTATTAATATATATATATATATATATGTGTGTGTTGGTCACATGATTACTTATATATATGAGTAATAAAAGAAATTGTGAATATATAAATATATTTATATAACCTACTTTAAGGTTCTCTTTAGAAGTTCTTTTTGAGTATGTCATGATGAACTCGCAAACATAGTATCCACAGTAGTTGTTCTCCTGTTCTTGCTTCAGAACCCACTTTTACGAGAAAAAAGATCCGGTGAATTAAAAGCATGCATGGTGTTAATTGAATTATATATATATATATATAAATGTAGCTAGTACTTACTTTGTGTGCGATTACATCTAGTGGCGCTTTGCAATGTTTCATGTGGTGTTACTCAATGAAACTTTTCCAAACACTACGCCCAATAAAATAAAAAATTAATTTGGCCTTTAATAATTATTGCAGTTAAGAGATCGGGGTATATATAGTTGCTAGAGAGACCAAATTACCCTTGGATAATATCTATCATGTCTTGGTACTCTGTTTGCTCTTTTCTTAACGAGTCTAAGATGCTCAACTGACTATTGGCCATATCGATGACCATCAATATCCAATGATTGTTGCATATGTTTTTATACACAAATATGATCGACATTAACTAGAGTCAACATATATATGTGGGAGATAGCTTAGCTAGTAAGCAAATAATTGAAAAATATCCATATGATCGACATTAATTATTTAACACTCACTTGAAGTTGTAGGGAAAGAGTATGTCCTTGTTTTGTTGGTTCACTACGAACCTCATGAGATTTTTCTCGAGTTTACCTTTCCATTGAGGCGGGAGATTAGGGTGTTTGAATACGATATTTGGATCAACGAAACCAACATCATTATCCTTTCTCTTTCTGAGTTATGTCATCTCATATCTGCATATATAAAAATATAGTGTGAGGATATATAATTTATATATATACATGTAGCTTTATATATATACACTTTAATAGTAGAAAATAATCACACTTACAGACAATAGTAGCCAATGAGACTTTTGTCGAGAGAGTCCAGGTGGCATAGTTGGTGTAATTCTAAAAACTCGACATATACAACGTCATCGCCACGGAAGTAACGTTGGTTTCTAACTCTGACAGAAACAAAGTTCTATCCCCGTTCACACGCCACCATGTACCACTTGTTTAGCAGGTATATTTGCGTACCCAATTCACCTAAGGCCTCAGGGTTGTATAGACTCTTTTCATGTTCAAATTTCTTCCGATGATCCACTTTCAGAGCAGATGGTCCTTCAGCGAGCACTTGGGCAAGGTCCAAACCAGTATCCTCGTAAAACCGAACTAGGTCCTCAAAATCGATGTCCGGTAAGTCTAAGTTTGAACCATATTCATTACGAATGACAAGAGGGGGGACTGATGTAACACCCCGGGTGTTTAAATATTAAAAACCGGACATATCATCATATGCATTATAAGGCATTGGTCATATTGCAAACTTTGATATGCATTCAATAAAACAAGTTTATCTTTATGTTATAAGTATTGCTTGGTATTGTTTGAATCAAGTTCGAAATCTTTGTATTGATTTAAAATTTCGAAAACCCTGATTTTCAATAATTAAATCCTACCCTAAAAACCTAATTCGAAATCGAAGCACATTTTAGAGTTGAGCCTTAAAGCAAAAGTGTTGATCTTGTCAAGATATACAAAGTTTGTTTTTGAAGTTTTTCAAGTTGTTTAGTAAAATTTGATGTTAATTGAAAAGGTGAAATTCCTTAAATGTCCCCTTTTCGAATTCAAAAGTTCATTTCAAAATGTAGACCGAATTAGGTGTTGGTTATAAAAGCAAAGTTGTAGAACTTTAAATTTTGAACAACTTTTGTTTTTGGAGATTTTTGAGTTGTTATGAAAATTTGGGAGTAATTTGGGAATTTTGGCAAATGGCATATCTATAATTTTTGTGAACAGTGTCCACCGCCGAAGCTACATTGCCGGTGTTTCCTTCTTCGGCGTTCCAGGCGCGGTCATGGCCGTTTTGGTGTCGCGCTGGCGCGGTGAAGGCCACAGCGCAGCTTCCTCGAGCTTCTTGGCCCCCTTTTATAGCCTGAGCCGCCGTCGTCTTTGCCCTTTCTCCTTGCTCTGTTTTTTCCGACGCCTTGCTCATCTCCGGCGAGCCCGCGCCGTCATTGTTGTGCTCCACCGTCGCTGATAAGCTAGTTCTAGCTTCACTTACTCCTTGCGCGTCCAGTCGACCCACCAATTCGGCTTGTCTTAGCCGGGAACTCGAGTTGCATCGTCTTCTTCCTCGTGGCTGGCAACACCTCCACTGAGCACGATTCGCCGTGGCCAGAGCTCCACGGTGCATCTCCGTCCTTGGTTTTAGTTGATTCTGTTTCGTCTTGATGCTGTGGTACTTAATCCATAGTTGGTTGCTCATTTGGACCACTACAGTCGTCGGTACACCATCGTTGACGACGTTTTGCTCCGCCGTGCTCGCGCTGATCGTCGAACCACCTTGCTGTTGCTCCTTAGGCTCGGTAATTGACTCTAACCGTTCGGGGTAACCTACTGATGCTTCCTAGACCTTTTGTTTAACAGCTACTGGCCTGTTGTCACCGGCGTAGCGCCGCCGTGCATTCGCGTCTGCCGTGGCCAGCGTTGTGCTTGGTCCAGTCGATGTTGGGTCTTGATTTTGCCACCAATAGATGCGGCCTGTTGTCGTGAACGTATTAGAGCTTTGTCTGTCGCCGGTGACCTCACCGTCGGCGAGGAATCGCCGGTCAGAGCCGTCGTTGCCGTGGTCAACGTCGGAGGTGGAAGATGACATGTGGGGTCATGGTGTCAGTGACTCAGCGTTCAAAATGATTTTTCTGTTTTTCAGATTTAAATGAATAGTGTCTGTTTTTGTTATTTTTGTGTAGATTTATTTAGAGCTCCAAAAATTCTGAAAATTTTTCTGTGACTTTTCTGTGATGTGTATTATTTAGAAAAAATATGAAATGTTGATTTTCAGTACTTTTTGAATGTGATAAAAATTGCTCAATTAATTAATAAATGAGTTTCTAGGATTTTTCTAGGCTGATTTATGTATCCAAAAATTATGAAAATTATTTTGCCACTTAGTTTTCATGTGATGACCATTTACAAAAATTTTGAGCTCAATTGGAATAAGTTGATTTATTTCATAATTCTTAATTAATTAATTAATTCATAAAAGCAAATAGTAACCTTTAGTGATTTAGGTTTTGTTTGAGTTTTTAAATGAGTGATGTCTTTGGGTCATTAGTTGGTGATGATCCTTGGCAATGGATATGAGTGTTGCGAAAATGGTTTAGTTAGTTTAACTTGTAACTGTACCGCGAAGGAAAGTTGTATTCAAGTTGTTAATTTTGCATCTATCATCGAGCATCATGTTTCGTATTCCGCATCATGTTAAACATGGCATTGTTACTACGTGTAGTTAACGAAGGTGAACACG